GAAGCAACAAGGACACCTCGTGATCACCATATTCATCGATCAGTTATCGCTCTTAGCGCTTTTAACAAGATATATTATCATATGCAAGTCACATTAGACCGGCAGCGGTCCGCATTCTCTCTCTCTCTCTCTCTCTCTCTCTCTCTCTCTCTCTCTCTCGCATACACTCTCTCTCTCTCTCTTTTTTTTATCTCTTTCTTTTTTCTCTCTCTCTCTCTCTCTCTCTTTCTCTCTCTTGTTTTATGTTTCATTTCTCACTCTCGCTTATCACTTTCAATATTCTATCGAAACAGCGACGCCCCACTTATATTTAATTAAACCGTTATTAGAATAATAATATATGTTTAGTTTGTACTATATATGATCTTTAAAAAGAAGATGGCCGATTTTTCGACCTCTTCTTCTTCTTCTTCTTCTTCTTCTTCTTTTTACGCTCTCTCTCTCTCTCTCTCTCGTTCTCTCTTTCTCTCGTTCTCTCTCTCGTTCTCTCTCTCGTTCTCTCTCGAACTCATACTCGAAATCACACGATCTTTCGTTCTCTAATTTCATTTTCTCTCTTTCGATTGTAATTTACTATTGTACGACTTTTTTTCCGCTCTTCCCGCCCCGACCCACCCCCTCCACGAATGTCGACAATCTAAATTAATTGAAATTTTTTTTTATTAAATCAATTATATTTATTCGCAGTGCGAACAACGTAACTCGTTGCAAACGTTAGACGGCTTTAATTTATTGCTATCTAATGACAATGGTGTAAAGAAATATCGATGCAATTGACGAAAGTATATATAATTATGTTTCAAATGAGCTACGTTTTCGAGATTATTATTTTTCCTTTTTTTCTCACTTTCATTTTCTCTGTCCCTTTTTTTTTTTTTCTTTTTTCAACGCGTTCTTTTTTCTCTTTCTCCCTTTCCTTTTCATTCATTATCATTCAATCGTATCTCATTATATCACAAAATTTATTCGATTTAGATCAGAAATTTTTTTACGTAGATATTGAAAACTTTGTTTTTTGGAAACAAAAAAGAAAAAATTAAAAAAAAAAAAAAAAAAAAAAAGAAAAAAGACTCAATTCCCAAAACGGACGTTCGAAAATCGTCGCATGAATGAAATTCTGTATTCCTCTCTCTCTCTCTCTATCTCTCTCTCTCTCTCTCTCTCTCTCTCTCTCTCTCTCTCTCTCTCTCTCTCTCTCTCTCTCTCTCTCTCTCTCTCTCTCTCTCAGACATGCATACACATTCTCTATCCTACGTATTCTAAATCTCTTTCTCTTTATTCCTTTCTCGCTTATTATAGCTGACGAGCGACGTTCGGATTAAAAATACAAAATTCTAATATCTAAATCGATCTACGTCGATCTATTAAACGACGAGTCGATTATCAATCGATTCGAGATTTCGCGAAAGTCGTTCGTCAGGCGCGCTCAGTCGTTTACAACGAATGCCTTTAAGGTAACAAAAGTTCTCCTCCCTTCTATTTCTTTCGTCTATTCTCTTCTTAAAGTATGTACAATAGCACAGCACGATTGTAGTACGATATCGAGTGCGGTTTCTTAAACTTTTCTCTCTCTCTCTCTCTCTCTCTCTCTCTCTCTCTCACCTATCACACAATACATACATATATACGTATATTCGCACTATCCTTTTCTTTCTTACGCTCATATCAGGTCAACGAGTACACAAGAACGTATATTTATCTTTCTTTATTTACACGTTCTTGATATTGCTCGCATAATACACGCTCTGTACGCGCGAGCCTTTTTCTTTAAAAATTTCTCTCGATACGAATACGAGTACGCTTTCTCCTCTCCCTCTCTCTCTCTCTCTCTCTCTCTCATTCTCTCGCTCTCTCTTTCTATCTCTCTATCTCTCTCTTTCTCTCTAACACAGACATACACACTCTCGTACAAACATTCTCTCGTTGTTCTTTCTCAATTGTTCACGTTCATTCCGATATATACGTGTTTTATACACACACATAGTACATACATACCAAACATACATATCATACATACCATACATACATACATATATGTAGATACGTACATACATACATACATACATACATACTTACATACTTACATACATACATACATACATAGATATATATATCACTTGGCACGTGCATCACACGATGCCACTTTGAAATTGGTTTACGTTTGATCTGACCAACGAGGATACGACGAGTCACGGCGATATGGCGTCTGCATAAATGCATTCGTCACATCACCAAAATTTCTTCCCACCATTTTTCTTTTAGGACTTTTGTCATTGTCCATTTTCTTCGTTCTTCTATTCTTTTCTTTTCTTTTCTTTTCTTTTTTCATTTTTTTTTTTCTTCTTCTTATTCATCGTTTGACCCGAACAAAACTCTACGTCTCTGATAAAATCCCTTTTTATTGAAATTTTTCCTTTCATTCTTATCTTTTCTCTTCTTCCTTTTTCTTTTTACAAATATGAAACTTCCCACTAGTGATCACAATACTAATAGAGAGAGATTCGACGATCGAGTCAAAGTTTATATTGTAGAATACCCTTTTCCTTCGCCTCACTTCGAGCGCTTGATTATTATTCCTTAATGTTACTGTTATTATTATTTATATTTCATTATTATTATTATTACTATTATTATTATTATTATTATTATTATTATTATTATTATTATTATTATTATTATTATTATAATTATTATTTATTAATATTACTATTATTATTATTATTATTATTATTATTATTATTATTATTATTATTATTAATATTATTATTTATTTATTTATTTATTTATTTATTTATTTATTTATTATTATTTTATTATTAAAATAGCAAATCGATATTATCGTAAAAATGTTCGCTTTCTTTCACGCGAAAGGCGACTAGTTTCTATATTTAAAAGTCAAGAAGACGCTTTGACTCGTCGGGAAGTCTCTCTATTTATCTATCTATCTATCTTTATCTCTCTCTCTCTCTTTCTCTCTTTCTCTCTCTCTCTCTCCCTTTTTACTCTCGTTCGAATAAAATCAAAAAAAAAAAAAAAAAAAAAAAAAAAGAAAAAAAAAACCATAAATCAAATAAAAAAAGAAACAAAAATAATCGTAGGAATACACGTACGCATTAAGACTGCGATATCCTTGAATTTTGACTAGAAAAAAAAGGAAGATGGTAACTTCCATCGAAAAGGATCTCGCAGACTTTCTCTCTGACGTGTGTTTTGTCATCTAGGAATGAAAAGTATTTGTATATATATATATATATATATATATATATATATATATATATATATATACATATATATATATATATAGACTAGAACCGTTAAAAGAAGGAACTTACGTAATCTAATATGGCAAACAAGTATGGCACGTGATATTGGAAAACTCAAGTAAGAGAGAAATATATTTAAACTTCTTCGAACGATTGAATCCTCTTCTAGTCTTTTGAATGGGAGAAATAAGAAAAACGAAATGGAAAGAAAAAAAAAAAAAAAAAAAGAAAAGAGGAGAAAAGAGGAAGAAGAAACAAGACAAGAAAAAGAAAAGAAAGATAATCGAGCCAATCTCTTTTGCTCTTTTTTTTTTTTTGTTGTTGCTCTTTCACTATCATTTTTTTCCAACTTTCTTTACGATCTTTTTTAGTTTCTTTCTTTCTTTTTTTCTCCGTCTCTCTCCCTCTCCCTCTCTCTCTCTCTCTCTCTCTCTCTCACTCATTCATTCTATCACTCTCCTTTTTCTTGCCTCGTTTCGTTCGTCTTTTTTCTTACTATTATTATTATCATTTTTTTGTTTGTTTGTTTGTTTGTTTAGTAAAGGAAAAAGAAAATAAATAAATAAATAAAATAAGACTCTAGGATGGGATCTTTCCGAACTGAATAATTCACAGAGACGAGAGTCCTTCATCTTTCTCTATCTTTTTTCTTTCTTTCTTTCTTTCTTTCTTTCTTGCCTTCTTTCTTGTTTTCTATCGATAGACAAACGATGACGTTGAATGATAAACCCTTACTCGAGCATTTGTTTTGAAAATTTTATCCTATTTTTTGTCTCCCTCTTTCGACTTTTCTTTCTTTCTTTCTTTTTCTCTTGAATCGACCGTTCTCGTTTATATCCGACATTTTCGTCGAAATATCTCTCCAAAATCGTAGGTATTACAATAAAAGGAAAACTGACAAATAGAGAATAAAGAGAAATAATAAAGGATAAAAGGTTAGAACGACAAGTTGGATATGTTGACGAAAAAAAAAAAAAGAAAAAAGAAAGAAAAAAAAAGAAAAAAACCAGAAATAAAAGAGAGAGAAAAAGAGAGAGAGAGAGAGAGAAAGAGAAAGAAAGAGAAAGAGAGAGAAAGAAATGCGTACGTATAGATTTGTCATTAAAAAATTTCAAACATAACTATATCTTTCGTAAGCTAGCATTGCTGTTACTCATGTTACTGCCAGTACTGTTTGCTAGCATCACGTACATAAGATAATGGCTGCCTCAGCATTGATAGAAGAAGGCTTATATGTTGTGTATGACGCACGACCTTCTCCTATACTTTGCCAGCTCGGCCGTTCTCTTTGACATAGATGAGAGAAAAAGTTTCAAATAGGAAAAGAACGTAAATACTTAGAAGAAGATAGACATTACTTTCTTTCTTTCCTCTCTTATTTTCTTCCTTTTTCTTTCTTTCTTTCTTCCTTTCTTTCTTTCTTTCTTTCCCTTTTCTTCTTTTCTTTCTTTTTTGCTCGCTTTTTTTTCTTCCCTTTTTTCTGTTTCTTTTTTCTTTTTCTTTCATCCAAAATATTGCATAAGTAAATATCAGAACGATCATTGATTATCTCGATCGAATCGTGAGAAAATCGTAATTTTATCGATGCATACGCATTACAACCCGTTTGAAATATATATGGAAATAAAAAAAAACGCACATTTAAATGCATATAAAAAAATATATAAATTTCGATAAAGGAAAAAAAAAAGGAAGAAAGAAAGAATGAAAGAAAGAAGGAAAGAAAGAAGGAAAGAAAGAAAGAACGAGATATCTCTCTCTCTCTTTCTCTCTCTCTCTCTCTTGTCGAAATAAATCGACATAGTTTATTGCACGACATTAGAATAATAATTCTATGCTTAATTCGGCATAATTGATTTCTCTCTTTTTTTTTTTACGATCGATTTATCGAGGCTTCTCATTCGTATTAGAAAAGAGGAAGGATAGGAAAAATAAAAAGAAGAAGAAGAAAAAAAAATGAGAAAGAAAGAAAGAAAGAAAGAAAGAAAGAAAGAAAGAGCGAACGAATGGATCGTTCTTTGGGAATAGCTCGAGAAAAGGGCTGCTTGTCCTTCTGGTGGGAAGAGATGGAAGTTGGAGAAGGAGACCCTTACGAGAAGGGTAGATCCTCCTCTGGTGACTCGTCGTGGTACTCCTCGTGGTCGGACGTGTGTCACAAAACGTCGCTTGGCTGTCGCTGCCCGATACCTATTGTTGGCGATAGCTGTCCCTCCTCGACCGCCACGGTCTTCGGATCCTCGTCCTTCCACTTGTCCATGGAGCGCCGTCGAGCGTTCATGAAGAAATTACCGACCGTCGTCGGTTCAAGGCCCAACTGTCGCGCGATTGTCACCTGCATCTCCTTCGACGGCCTCTTGGTCTCCTAAGAAGAAAAATCATCTTTTCGTATATATACAAATAAATATAGATATAGATATATAAATATATCTAGATATATATATATATATATATTTATATATATAATATATATATATATAATTATTTATAATCTAGGAATTTTTCTTTTTGGTTTCTCTTGGACCAAATCGAACGAAGAATTAATGACTTTTTATTATTTCTATCTATTGTTATGTACTTGTGTGTAATGTTTAATGCGAAAGAAATTTTGTTCTTCGACTATACCAAATTTGTCGTCTGAAATATTGTGACAATTGATCGAATAGTTGGAATATTTTTAAATCATTCCCAAAACTTTTAACAAATGTTTCCTGAAAAAGATCGAAATCTTTTTATTACTATTATTATTTTTATTTATTTATTTATGTCGTTGGGCGTCAAGATGATCTATTCTTTAATGCATTTCTTGGGGAAGAAATCAATACAAACGTTTTATCCGTCATTATGAATAAACTGTATTACGTGAAGTAGACTATTTATTATTATTATTATTATTATTATTTTTCTTTTTTTTTTTTCATTTTATTCAGAATGTTTTCATCTAACTTCAATGAACATCCAACCAAATTAATGAAACAATGAATGAATTATATTATATTTTATATTAAATGCTTTGATAAGGTATCATTGAAAAGAAAAAATCATAATTTCCTATCGGACATTTAATTAACATAATATGATATTATATAGCTAATGTAATAAGCAATAGAAAATTATTTTTTAATTTTTTTATTACCGTCTGAAATTATCAAAAAACCAAAATATTTATATATACATATATATATAATGTATATCTTTTATTCTCTTTTTTTTTTTTTTCATCGATTCATAAGAAATCATTGATAAGAAAAATTCGTTGATCTACAAATGGCAAATAAATTAATTAATTATAAAAATTAAAAATAATAATATTATCGTCGTAAAAAAAAATCGTTGAGAAAATATATTCAAAATGATCGACTTTATTATTATTACAATTTCATAAACGTTAATCTTTGAATAATACACGTGAAAGAGATCTTAAATAAATATTTAATTTGATATCTTAATTTATTTTCATTCTGTTGGAATAGATCGAATAAGTCGCAATTCACCAGCCACGTTCATTCTTCTGATAATTTTAACAATTTCACATTGTCTATTCATAGAATCGAAATTTTATTTATTTTATGAATTCATGAGATTTGAAAGTTGAATTCAATAAGATTTACTTCATGGCCTATATCCAATCGCCTCTTTTTTCCATTTCTTTTTCTTCTTTTTTTTTTTTTTCCTTCTTCTATTTTTCTTTTAATTTTTTCATTTTTTTTCTATATGTAAGATCGTTTCGAAAATAATGAAAATCATTGTTTGTCTTAAGTACGTCAATAGGACACAATGATCAATATGAGCCTAAAATATATTTACATGTAATCATGAGAAGATGAGAAAGAGAGAGAGAGAGAGAGAGAGAGAGAGAGAGAGAGAGAGAGAGAGAGAGAGATAAGGGCGAAATATAGGGAACGACGGATATTGAAGATCTTTCTTATAGAAACTATTTCAAACATTTAAATTCGTGAATTAATTTCATGACCGAGATTTCTGATATATCATTAATTCTTAAAATATCGATTAAGTTCGTCGACTCATGGATATGATAGTTCTCTCATATTATTTTTCTATAATTGAATTCTCTATAACGGGATGTGACATAACATCGAAGTCACATAATAATATATATATATATATATATATATATATATATATCATGTTTTGTTTAGATATAATTTTATTTTATCGACGCAAGAATTTATTGTCAAGGTATTTATGCTTCATTATTTTTTTTTTTTTATTTTTATTTTTTTTTTTTTTCATATCTTTTTACTGGTATTAATTGTACTTAATGGGGTATAATTGCATGAATAATATTAATGTAATATGTAATCGGAACTTTTACATTATTTAATTTTTGTATAAGAGACGAAAAGAAAGGAAAGAAAAAAAAAAAAAAAAAAAAGAAAGGAAAAAGGAAAAAAAAAGGAAGAAAAAGTAATCGAATTACAAATACGATCAATAATAACATCATTACGTATAATCCGATATGTACGTATGATAAAAGAATCGGATATTTTATTTGATTGTCGTATCAATTATAGATAATAACAATTAATGAGACAAATATTTATTGATTTTGTAGATAATCGAAAAAAAAAAAAAAAAAAAAAGAAAAAGAAAATTAATAACGATAATTAAAAATACTATGAAAATTAATTTGTTCGCTTTGGTTGTTAAATTTTGTATCGTTAAAAAAAAAAAACAACAACAACAAGTGAAAAAAGGCGGAGGGAAGGAGGAAGCAAAAAAAAAAAGAAAAAAAAAAAAAAAGGAAAATGAACAAGAAAACAAAAAAAAAAATTATCTCTAACGTTTCTCCGATTAAACGACGAATTCATTAAAGTCTAACATTAAATGATAATTAATTGATAATATTATTATGCACTTTTTAATTTATCGAAACGCTTCAATTTTTTTGATTCCTCTCTCTGATTAATATTATCCAAGCATTTGGATATGTTCTTTTTCGTTTATTATTTCTTTTATTGTTTATTTTTTTTTATTTTTCCCCCTTTTTTTCCTCTTTTTTTTTCTTCTTCTTTTCTTTTTTTTTCAATTTTCGAAACGACCCGTATAAATTGCTACGCAATAAAGAAAAATCCTTTGAGGAGTAACGTGAAATCCCGTTTCGGTAAATTTCGTTTTAAGTAAAACGTATTACGAGCGACGTCGAAATTTTTCATTGAGTTTGCGGTTTTGTATTAGTGACGATACCTAATACTGGCATTGCACTCGTGCATTTATACTAACACTTTCAAACGCGACGTGGACGGAGAGACAAGATACTAAAGCACGTTTCCTTTTTAACGCGACGTTTCTTATTCAACGTGTGTTCCAGAGTCTGACGATCAATAAAATGAACGCGGTTGTTACGCCGAAGTGTAGGTATACTACACATACATAAACATATACATATATATATATACATATGTATACGTATACATATATACATATATATATATATATATATATATATATATATATATATATATATATACAAACATATCGATTATTATAGCAAATCGATGTGGCTTAGTTATTAAAATAAAAAGATTCATTGCTTTGACGGGATCTACGATTTAAATGCTTTAGTTACCACACTGGGATCGCCTTTAAACGATTTGATTGAATCTAAGGAACAATATTCGAATACGAATTATTGATACGTAAATTTGATACGTATGACACGCACATAAATCGAAGTTACTCTTTTTCCTTTTTCTCCTCGAGTTTTGTTTTCTTTTTTTTTTATTTTTCTTTTCTTTCTTTTTTCTGTTTTTCTGTTTTTTTTTTTTTTTTTTTTTTTTTTTTTTTAACGAGTTACATAAGTTTCGACTTGTAAAGAATTTGAACGTAAGTATCTACGCGTATTTATTTATCTATTAAATAGATATTAGATCTCTATGATTATTCTATTGATTAAATAAAAGATAATTGTAAGGAATAATCGATAAGATTGGTGATCTAGAAGATTTTCTTTTTTTCTGTGAATGATCATTTAATGTAACACTTGAATTCAATTAAATCATTAAATTTAATTAATCATAATATCCTATGAGAAAGAGAGAGAGATGACTATGTATTGTAATAGAATATTTTCAATTATAATTTAGTTACATCTTTTATATGTATATATATAATCTATATATTATAATATATATAACATATAGATTATAATAATCTTTTTTATTTACAGTCAGTAAATAAAATATTTTCTCTTATATCATTCCTATATAAAACTCTTGACGACTATAATTAAATGTTTTTAATTAATTAGAAATGACTATAATGTGATTACAGCCTTGACGACTAGAAATAGTTACAGTCATTCATACCTATGATATATAATCGTATAATTAATTAGCAAAAAAATCATAATAATTATAACAAAAATAATTTTAGCTTAGTTGGCAGATGATTATAACTAGATTAACTTTGTCACTACATATATATATATATTATATATATATATATATAATATATATATATATAATGAAATATACAATATTTATAGTTTTAATCATGTCAGTTCCATTATTATAACTTTCACGTACGTATACCTACTCATAATTTCATGTACTTTATTAACTCTCTCTCTCTCTCTCTCTCTCTCTTTCTCTTTCTACAAATCATCCTAAATATATATACGTAGAATATTTTCATTCCTTTTCCATAAAATGGATGATCATTCACGTTAAAATTGAACTTATATATTACGAACGAATAATTCTTGAAGAAGATGAAAATAAAAAAGAAATATCTCTGTTCACTTGCAGAACACAAAATTGAATGTAAACACACACACACACATACACACACACACACACATATATATATATCATAAATCCGTAATAATAATAATAATAATAAGAAAGAAGAAAAAAATAGACCAGTTTCTTTCGATCGATGAAAATAAAACTTTGTTACCATTCGCTGGGAGGAGGGTGGGAGGAGGAGGGGGAGGAGGAGGAGGGGGAGGAGGAGGAGGAAGAGGAAGGGAGTAGGGGCGGCACACTTATCCATATTCAAATTTACTCTTGCTCTCTAATTACATTTCGTAATTTCTCGTTCGTTGAACTTCGTTTAAAGTAAAGTAAGGGGAATATTGATATCCTGTCTGGCTGGTTCGTTGGTGGAGCGTGAGTTAGCGATACACAACGAAACGAAGATGTCTCTGACTCGACACCGTGCCAACTCGCTCGTTACCTCTCTCTGTCTCTCTCTCTCTTTCTCTGTACCTACCCTAACCACCCCTTTCTCTCTGTCTCTCTCTCTCTCTCTCTCTTTCTCTTTCTCTCTCTACCTACCCTAACCACCCCTTTCTCTCTGTCTCTCTGTCTTTCTCTCTGTCTTTCTCTCTCTCTCTCTCTCTCTCTCTCTCTCTCTCTATCTATCTCTCTCTCTCCTCTCACTCTGTCGTAGTATAGAACGGCGCATCAATTGTTGGAAATACGGGACACTATCGGGGAGAACATCGTGATTATTCCATGACAGCCACTGTCCTCCCAGCTTCTATACATCTACGCGTATAGACTATACACACTATCTATACACACACAAGTACACATACATATATAATATATAATATATATATATATAAATATAAATGTATATATATGTGTGTGTGTGTGTGTATATTTTATTCGTACGCTTGTATATATATATATATATATTATATCGTTTACCAGGAGGACGTCGAAGTTGACAAAAGAACTGAATTTTCCTGCGTCCAACAAAAGGAATCCTAACTCGAGAACGATGTAAAGGTCGTTCGGAAATGAATTACAGAGAAATGTACTCACTCACTTATTCTCTCTCTCTCTCTCTCTCTCTCTTTTTCTCTCTCTCTCTCTCTTTCTCCCTTTGTATGTTTCTCGAAATATTCGTGATTTAATCTTCGTTGTTAAATTTATGTCAAACACCGTATTATGAGTTTGACGTAATCTAAGGCGTTCAGATTATGAATGGTATAGTATTATCGTTTATCGATAAGATTGTATCGTACGTATTTCTTAACGATTCAATTAAGTATATCATTCATTTTACATTATATCAGACGAATTAATTATGAGATAAAAAATATTTAATATCGAGCGATAATTATTTATTTATTCGATTGTAACTCCGAATAAATTTCGAAAGATGTATAATCTTTTTGAAAACTTTTCTTTTTTCTTCTTTTCTATTATTTCTAATTATATTGATGATTTATCAAAAATGATTTAAGAAAATAAAATTTCTTTTCATTCTTTTTTTCTCGAGCGTGAAAGAGAGAGAGAGAGAGAGAGAGAGAGCGGGAGAGAGAGAGAGATTAAGGTCTATTACGATTATTATTATTATTATTATTATTATTATTATTATTATTATTATTATTATTATTATTATTATTATTATCGTTATTATTTGCTTAAGGCTGATACATATTTATTAATGAATCCGAAATGAGAAACGAGGTTTTTGAATGAAATTAATCTGATATATACAAATTAATCTGATATACCTACACATGTCTATTTGTTGCGTCTTTTTTTTTTGTTAAATAAAATTAGAGTTCATATATATCATGATCGATAAAATATATGAACATAAAGCATACAAATTTGAACGTGTTATCAATCTTGACACAAGACTACGAAGAAGAAATATAGAGTAGAATTTGTAGAGATTATATGTGTGATATGCACACCTTTCTCTCTCTGTATGTGTATCTATGTATGTGTATCTATACATATGTGTCTGTGTCTGTGTGTGTGTATGTGTGTGTGTGCGCCAAATAATCGAGGGAGAAATCAAATGGAATGTGAAACGGAGCAAATGCGAACGCGTTAACTGGGCTAAGGCCAATACGTGAACTATTTGGCACAGTTCCAAAGACCCAAAGGTACCTTTAAACAGGACCCTTTCCGTTTCTTCGCGTGCTACAAAGGATTCTTCTATCGAATCGATTCAATGTTGTAATCTAAATGCCCGCCAAATTTAAATCAAATACCATTGGGAATGATTTTTCTAATAACTTAATTGGATCTTCGTAGATTTTTTCTTCTTTTTTTTTTTTCTTTTTTCTTTTTTTTAAAGATAAATAAGCAGAATAACGAGATATATATATATATATTTTTTGTAATTATCTAAAATTATAATAAATATTTAAGAGTATTAATGTATTAACAAAATGAACATTGTTTTCGTGTAATTAGTATATAAGATATTATTTCTCAATCATTTATTTATTTTTTTTTTACAATAATAAATAAACGACAATAATTTTTAATTAACATTGTTAATTCTAATAACTATGATTTCAATAATCGTCAAATAAGAAATGTGAAATTTATTACTTTTTTAGAAGGATTATGTTCATTCTACCTTTAATATGTCGATATAATTTTATCGAAAAATTCTAACAATAATTTGAACGATATATCCGTTATTATTTTTAATTTATTTAATTTTTTAAACAATTACAGAGAAAAGAAAAGAAGAAAAAAGAAAAGAAGAAGATAATTTTTTTCTTTTGTTGATTATCACACTTCTAATATTATACTTTTAATTACGATCATTGTAAAATTATATTCATTTCTATGAATTCGATGATTCCAATATTTAATATAACGATGTAATTTTTATTGAGAAATTATCTTACGTTCTATATTACCTTTGAACGATGTAAATTTTATTCTCTTATACATTCTGCGAAATCAAAAATTTTTTAAAATAACTGATCAAAAATAAAAGTTATAAATAAAAATATATTCGACGTTGAAAGTTATAAAAAAAAAAAAAAAAGAAAAAAAAAACAGAAAAAAAAACAGAAAAAAAGAGAAAAAAAAGAGAAAAAAAAGAGAAAGAAAAAAGAAAATATCCAATCGGGTTCGACGATATCACATTTCTCCGATAATAAAAAAAACATAAAAAGATTCATCATCTTATTTTCCGATAATTAAAGAGCAATATGTAATTGAGAGAAAGAAAATAGGATACGTTATGTCGTGTAATAATTACGATCGATGTATCCTCATGATTCATTAAATCATTTTTCATTCGATCGATTTTATTAATAGAACTAAAACATTCTAATTATTAGCGTAAATAATTTCAATGTAGAAATTTGTTCGATCAATTAACATCCTTCTTGATATAAACATAATCACGAGAAATAATCGATTAATAAAAGAACCAAAAAAGAAAAAAAAAAAAAAGAAGAAAAAAACAAAAAAAAGAAAAACAAAAAGTTTTGTATTTAGGTATATTTGTAAAGATGTATATACGTGAGAGTATAAGTACGAATATATATATATATACACATACATATATGTATGTATGTTTGTAAAAATACGTATGTACATATATGTAAAGATATATAGGTATATAGATGTCCATTCTTAAAAAGACACGGTCCTCGTTGCAAGCATCGAGGACTTACGGAGGGAGGGAATCGGTGGTGCTGGAGGAAGGGTGATAGTAGAGGAGGGCTAGGTGGTGGTGGAAATGCAGAGCGTGTAAGTAAAGAACCGGCCACGAAATTATTCAAGACAGATCGATATCCAGTAGCGCGTTATACCTGATGCTCGACTGAATTCACCTATCTTTTACACTCGAGGACAAACTTATTTTCCATGTGCACGGTAAAAATCATAGAAACCTGACATTTTATGTTTCAGGAAAATATGTATATATATATATATATGTATCAACGGAACGATATAATAATTATAATAATAATTTCAATGAAATAAATTTTGTTTTCCTTCTTTCTTTTTATTTTTATTTTTTTTTTTTTTTTTTACTTGTAAGATCAATCCTTCGTTTAATCATTCTCGATACTTTTAACTCGATGATCGATCGATTTATTTATTTAATTATTTATTCGTACGCTCACTGTTCGACGTTATACATAGATAGGGTGTACTAATCTATATTTATCTATATTTGTCTTTCCTAAGTTCTTATCATATTTCATCAATGACATTATGTAACATCGTAGACTAATATCTATCTCTGTTTGTCTTTTTTTTTTCCCTTTTTCCCTTACTTTTTCTTTTTCTTTTTCTTTTTTTGTTTCCTTTTTTCCTCCTTTTTTTTCAATGAAATTCCATTACTATTATATCTTATCGTAATTAAATCATAAAATGAAAATATTATATGAACGATTCGATGCATCGTAAGGAACTGTTCTAATCGTAAAACATAGAAAAAAAGAGAAAAAAAAAAGAACAGAAAAGAAGAAGAAGAGGAAATGAAAATAAATATCGTAAAGATTACGTGTCGAGTCATTTTTAATCGTTAAAAAAAAAAAAAGAAAAAAAAAAGCAAAAGGAATAAAAAAACAGAAATGATCAATCTTCCAAGATAAACGATCGAGGACTTTTATAATCGTTTTGAGAAAAATTCCTTCCATTCCGAAAGAAAAAAAAAAAGAAAAGAAAAAAAAAAGAGATAAAAGAAAAAAAAAGGAAACAAAAGAGAAAATAAAAGAAATTAAACAATCAATTCAAAGTAATAGATAAAATCGTGTAGGCAATCGATAAACTTAGGATCTCGTGTTACAAGGATTCTGTCAGGATCAAAATCGAGTAGGTTGTTCGACGGTAGAGAAGTATCGATCAAAAAGAAGGACACGACAAGGGGAGTAAAAGGAAATGACAATACTTACTTTAAAAATAGCCTGTAGAGTACGGCGCTGAAGGTCTGTGAAAACCAGCCGCGGTTTCTTGGGGGCGGGCTGTTGGTGTTCTGCCTGATTCGACAT